AGCGGAACGGAATGTGCGGAACCAGCTCGACCAATCGTAATCACAGAAAAAGCGAAGGAAAAAAAACGGAATGGCTATGATTGGTCGAGCTGGTTTCGCACATTCCGTTCCGCTATATATTTCCGCGCTTCATGTACTGGCATCCTAAAGAGCCGTCTACAATGGAGAGTTTTAGACCGTAAAAGTAAGAAATTGACAAATCACAATCGATTATTCTTCTGTACTTTGTCTGTGATTGGTAAATTTCTTACTATTACGGCCTACAACTCTCCATTGTAGACGGCTCTTTAGGATGCCAGTACATGAAGCGCGGAAACGCGGAACGCGGAAAATAGTAACTAGATTCTGCGTTTCCGCGAATTGAGTTTGTTTCTTCCCGCACGTTTGAGCGGAAAAGAAGAATCCGGTATTTCCGTGTGTATCAAGTACATAAGGCCCGAATTCTTAGTCGCTTCTCAAATCTTAGATCTCGTCTCCAATTTCAAATTTCAGCTCTCAGGGGTACGTTTCAAAATCCTACCTTGGTTACTAAAATGCTATATTTTGCGTCACATGTACTATGGTTTTCGGTTACCAAGGTAAGATTTTGGAACGTACCCCAGGGCGATGTCCCATTGAGCGGAAATCTATAGCAGAACGGAATGTGCGGAACCAGCTCGACCAATCGTAACCACAGAAAAAGCGAAGGAAAGAAAACGGAATGGCTATGATTGGTCGAGCTGGTTCCACACATTCCGTTCCGCTATATATTTCCGCTCAATGGGACATCGCCCTCAAGTCTCGAATCTCCAACCTTAAATTTGAGTGTGAATAGTTTATCTTGTAATTTGGTAGTTTGTGGTCATAAAGTGTACTATAACAAGAGATTTGACCGGCCCAGTGGTCTCGCGGCCTGAGTGCAGGGGCTGCGAACCCGGAGGTCCCGAGTTCGAATCCGCTCACCACCTAAGGATTTTTTCCGGGCCGGTCCCTTTCAACCGAGTTTATCGGTTGATTGGCGAACTGAATCGGGCCTCCAATACTTAATTCGGGTGTAATCCCGAATTAATTTCCCTCCCACAAGGCATATATGTAATACTCCTATATTGCTAGTCGCGTATCTTCGCAATGAGAGGCACGAGGCCCGAGAAAGGGAGACGCACAAAGTCCAAATATGGGCATAGATGGGGTGCATTCCGATATTCACTGCCAGTACTGACAATGTGACGTCATAAAACAATGCTGTTTCTATGTTCCGCAATTACTTGTACTGTTTCTTCCATCGTATAACGGAACGATTTTATAGTATCTTTT